TGGGTTTTGAGTAGATTGAGTTTGAGGAAGTGGTGTGACATCCAGACTGATATGTCCATTAGTAATGACTGTAAATAAATGAATTACTTAATGATACGTGAGGAGACTCATGCTGTGAGCTGAGAGGTAAAAAGATTTGGGAGTCATCAGCGTAGAAATTATATTTAAAGCCATGGCAGGCTATCGGCTGACCCAGGGAGGAGGTGTAGACCAAGAATAAGAGAGGTCCAAGAAGAGAATTAAAAGAATTAGAATTGTAAGTGATGCTGCAGGTGCTGTGGTTTAGGTAACATGAGAACCAATGAAGAGTACAGACACAGAGACCAAAGGAGTAAAGTTTTTTTGAGGAGAAGAAGGTGGTCAACCATATAAAAGGCAGCAGAAAGGTCCAAAAGTAGGAGTACAGAATGGTGTACACTGGTTTTAGCTGTTAGTAAATCTGTAGGGTGCTGAGGGCAAAATCCACACTGAAGGGGATCAAGAAGGTTATTCTTAATGAGGAGGTCACTCAGTTGGTTGTAGACCAGGCGTTCAAGGAGTTTGCAGGAAAAGGGGAGCAAGGAGATGGGGCATAGTTTGTTAAGATTATATTTATTATTATTTTTTTCAGGGCTCATACACACCAGAATGCTATTCAGGAAATCCACATTCAGTGTCCATTTCCCAAGCTGCTTTCAGAATGCACTGGGTGTGCGATCTGCTGTGGGTGTCAACGTATTCCTAATGATACCCCAAATGCAGATTGAAAAAGCAGTGTGTTTGCCTGCATTGGGATTGCAGGGTACCGGTTGCAGTCTATTTTAAAAGTAGTGTATGCCCTACTTTTGATGCAATCCAGGGTGATTTAGGCCCTTTCAAATGAAAAGGTTCCTGTGGTATTACAGTATGAACAGGCCCTCAGTCCTGACTATAATAAACTATAAACAATATCACTACACATTCTCTTAGAATTAGAACTCTTTTTTTAAAAAGGTTGTAAACTGTTACTGTACTACTGGTTTTGGATGCTGAATTGTGAATCTAGCCTGCCTTTAATTTGTAATGTCTTTTATTAGTTTGATTATTTAATACATTTTACTTTTCACACCATCCATAACTCCCTGATTTGCAGGCATGCGTGGCCAGCAATATATGAAACAGTATTAAATGGAAGATGCAACACAACTAATCTGAGCTATAAAAAAAACAAGCCTTGCTTAAAGTGTTTAATGATGACATTTTGCAGGCAGTATAGGTGACTGCAATTTTATACATACATCTTTCTTGACAAGGTCGTGGAAAAAAAAAGTTTTGAAAGCATTAGAGAAATCCATTTTCCCCAATATATGGCATATGGCATTGTAGCTGCTACTACTCAGTGCCAAAAGTCAAGTTATATAGAAAACTAAAAACTTGGAGACAAGGTCACAGAACAAGCTAAGTTATATTTCAAATTTATGGTATGTTTCCTACAGAAAATCAATTAAAATTATAGAAAGTGAATCATAAACGTCTTCGATTTTTACACTAAAATGTACCTGGCTGCTCCTGTATATGAAAGGACATAAATATTTGGGGATCATTTATAATTTGGGGGGGTTAATACAATTTTTTTTCTAAACTCATTGTCTTTATGTCTGTGGGGGGGGGGGGGGAGTTGTGTTATTTAAAGAAACACTGCCACCTTACCCATATAGGGCAAGGTAACAGTGTCTCTGAAAAGTGTTTCCACCCCACCCTATACAGTATATTTACCCTACCTGGGAGGCTGCTTAGCAGGAAAATCAGAGGATGCCAAGGTGACAGTGTCTCTTTAAAGACTGACTAAAGACAAAATTATTTTAGCTTGAATAGAGTGGAAAGGGGTTAAAACTTTTGTCAGGTTTTTATTGCTGTGTCCCCATAGGGGTGATTACCCTCACTTCCTGTCCCAGTAGCAGGTTGTCAGTGAGACAAAGAGGTATACTAAATCTTTCCATTGAGAACAAAGGCAAAAATATTTTTCTTAAAATTGTTTTTTAACCAAAATTTGCATACAAAAATACAGAATGGTTGTTACAGCACACAAGTATAGTTATGTGTCTTAAAGTACATGTAAACCCTAACCTTGTGAAACAACCCAATTAGTGTAAAATAGAAATGAAAAGAAAAACGTTTATGAATACATATAAAAACATTATAAATACTTTTTCCCCCCTTTTTTATAAGTGATCACATACTCTCTGTTCTCAGCTGCACATAGGGGAGGAGAAACAGCAGGACACTGATATTCCTAGTGAATGGCTGTGCAGGTGGGAGGGGGGGGGGGGTGGGAGGGTGTCAGGACATGTCTGATCATTGGAGGAGAGCAGGCTGAGTTCACAACACAGCTAGATAACAGACCACACTGTGCTCTTATGCCTAGTGTGGCCAGTTTTTTTATAGGAAAGCAGAGAGACTGGTAGGAACTCTGGGGATTTCACACAATGGAAGCAATACAAAGAGAACAGGATACTTTTTCATACAGGTATATGGTACAGCAGGTACATATCAGGAATATGAAATGTTGGGTTTACATATTCTTTAAAGCGGAGTTCCACTCACACTGTAAAAAAAAACACAGTACAAACACTGTAGCTGCTGACTTTTAAAAAAACAGCCACTCACCTGTCCCACGATCCCGCGGTGCCGCCGCCGCCGCAGCCTGTTTTACCGGCCTTCCTGTATTCCAGGCGCCGGCATCTTCAGTGTGGGCACCCGGCTGTGACAGCTTGCGGCTTCACAGCCGGGAGCCCACTGTACATGCGCGAGTAGTGCTGCACTTCCTGAATGGCCCCGTCATCTTCTGGGACCTGTCACGTGTCCCACAAGACTACGGAGAGGGAGGGGGGAGGACAACTTCCACTTCCGATCGCCTAGGCGATCACAGCAGAAGTGGGAGCGGGTACCTGTCAATTTCGGGTACCCGTTCCCCAAAGGTGCCAATCCTTAATGGGGAGCGGAGGGCCAATCTTTAAAGCGGAACTTCCCCTTTTGGGTGGAGCTCCGCTTTAAGATGCATCCAATATTAGGTTCATAATGTTGTCATTTACCTGGAAAAATCCTAATAGCTCTTAGAGCTTGTTCACACAAGTCTTCAGCCTGTACAGCATGAATATCCCTTTGTTTATTTTCCTGTACTAGCACTGAGCTGCATGCAGGAAACCTATGTAAGTGAATGGACATGCACTGGCTGTACAGGCCACATAGTGTACCTGGATCTGGTTCAGGGAACATGACTAAAGTTTGGGTGCTGAATCTGAATCTCAATGAATTTAATGAAAGCCAAATGTTAAAAACAGGAATGGCCATTTTCTAAGCTAAAATGCTAGGGATTGCCAAACAAATGGCATGGAGGGAAGGCTTGGCACTTAGCTGAGGTTATGTACCAAAGCAAAAATACATTTAAAAAATTCCCTTTGGGTGTCCTGACCCTGACAATTGATATGACCTATTACAGCAACACTGCCATTTCCAAAGAAATACATGTTTCAGCACAGTGGCTAATGGTTAGCACTTCCACCTCGCAGCACCCAACCATGGCACACACTGCTTGGAGTTTGCATGCTCTCCCTGTGCATAGTTGAGTTTTCTCCCACTCTCCACAGAAATACTGTAGGTTAAAGTGGTAGTAAACTCTCTACGTTTATTGTTACCTACAGGTAAGCTTATACTAAGCCTCACCTGTAGGTAAAATCACTGGTGTAGTGTCAGGGGCCTCAGGGGTTGCCCTTGTGACCCCGCCCCTGTTCCCTGGGGCCCAGATGGCATCCCTGTCATGATTTTTGGCCAGCTGCGGATCTGCTACTTAGGAGCCGCTGCTGCCTCTGTCATTCTCTCAGACTCTGCAGGAGGCAGGGGGCAGGATGGCTCTGCATGGAGGGCAGGGGCTGCCCGTGTTAACAAGTATGTGATTGGCTGTTAGGATGCAGGGCAGTTCTAGAAACCAATCATCAGCTTGCAGCTTGTACCGCCCAGCCCTCTGTTCAGACTTGCTGTACCTCTTGCCCTCCACACTGAGTAAGGTAAGACAAGGGTGGGGTGGAGGAGCTGCGGACATTATTGGAGGGGGGCTGAGGATATTAATGGGGGAGGGGAGGGGCTGAGGTCATTAATAGAGGCAGGGATAAGGATATTAATGAGGGAGCTGAGGACATCCATTGGGGAAACGAGGCTGAGGACATTAATGGGGCTGAGGACATTCGTTAGGGGGGGATGAGAACATACATGGGAAAGTGGGGGCTGAGGATATTAATGGAAGGGGGCTGAGGACATTAATGGGGGGGCTGGGACATTAATGCAGAGGGAACCTTAATGGTGCAGGGGGGTTGTGAAGATTCATGGATGGGGGACTAAGGTCATTAATGGAATGAGGGGCTGAGGACATTCGTGGGGGAGCTGAGGACATTAATGGAGGGGAGGGGCTGAGGTCATTAATGGAGGGGGAGCTGAGAACTTTCATGTGGGAACTGAGGAAGTTAATGAGGGGGCTGCGGTCATTAATGGAGGGGGGCTGAGGACATTCATGGGGGGGGGCTGAGGACATTCATGGGGGGGCTGAGGACAATAATGGAGGGGGACTGAGGACATTAATGAGGGGCTGAGGAAATTAATGGAGGGGACTGAGATCATTAATTGAGGGGGGCTGAGGACATTCATTGGGGGGGGGCTGAGGACGTTAATGGAGGGCAGCTGAGAATATTAACCACTTTCACCCCCTTCCTGCCCAGGCCAGTGTTCAGCTTTCAGTGCTGTTGCACTTTGAATGACAATTGCGCATGTTGTGTCATGCAACACTGTACCCATATGAAATTTGTATTATTTTTTTCACTCAAATAGAGCTCTCTTTTGGTGCTATTTATTCCCCACTGGGCTTTTTATTTTTTGCACTATAAACAAAAAAAGAGCAACAAATATGAAAAAAAAAAAGTTTTCTTTGTTTCTATTATAACATTTTGCAAACAGGTAATTTTTCTCCTTCACTAATGTGCATTGATCAAGCTGCACTGATAGGCAGCACTGATGGGCACTGATGAGGTGGCACTGATAGGTAGCCCTGATGGGCACTGATGAGGCAGCACTGGTGGGCATTGATGAGGAGGCACTGGTGAGGCACTGATATGCAGCAATGATGGTCACTGATAGGCGGCACTGATGGCCACTGATAGGCGGTACTGATGAGCATTGATAGGTGGCACTGACTGATAGCACTGAGAGAGGGCACTGACTGGTGGCACTGACGGTTGGCACTGCTGGGTGGCACTGATAACCAGGACCAGGGGCGGACTGACAACTCCTGGGGCCCCCGGGCAATAGAGGATCATGGGGCCCCTGTGTCCTTGCCCAATCTCAAAAAAGCCTATGAAAAAGGTACCAGGGGCATCTCATGGGGCCCCCTACTGACCCCGGGCCCTCGGGCAGTGCCCGAGTTTTTCCAAATGGTCAGTCCGCCTCTCACCAGGACACTGATTATCAGTGCAGATCTCCTCTGTCACATTTGCCGGTTAACGCCAGTACGTTAATCATGCTGTCACGGGGTGAGGAAAGTGCTGCCAATAACCGGCAACTGTATTTAGATTGTGATCTGCTGTGTCATTTGACACAGCTGATCACGTGGTAAAAGGCCACTGTGATTGGCCTTTTACCTAGTCATGTGATCAGCTGTGTTCGCAGGACACAGCGATCACTGACAGCACCGGGTGCGTGCCGCTGGGGGCACGCACAGGGCGTGTTCTGGGAGGATGTCCATGGACACCCTCCCAGAACTGGACAACTACACTGTAGACATCTTTCGGCTATAGCGTGGTTGGGAACAGGGGCGGACTGACCATTTGGAAACTCGGGCACTGCCCGAGGCCCCGGGGTCAGTAGGGGGCCCCATGAGATGCCCCTGGTACCTTTTTTAATACGCTTTTTTGAGTTTGGGCAAGGACACAGGGGCCCCATGATCCCCTATTGCCCAGGGGCCCCATGAGTTGTCAGTCCGCCCCTGGTTGGGAAGCAGTTAATAGGGGTGCTGAGGACATAAATGGAGGTGGTGACTGAGGTAATTAATGAAGGGGGACTAAGGACATTAGTGGAGGAGCTGAGGACATTAATGGGGGGTTTGAGGTCAATAATGGGGGGAGGGGGCTGAGGACGTTAATGGGGGAGCTCAGGTCATTAGTGGAGTGGTTGCTGAGGTCAATAATGCACATTTGCATGCACACTACATGGGTAGGACAGCCCATTCATTTTAGTGGGCTGCCCTACCTGCAAGAAACACAGGGAAAGAAGTCCAAGCCGCATGGTTCTGCAGCACCTTGTGGTTTGGCATGCAATAAAATGAGCCGTAGCTGCTGATGTGTGGGGGTGCTATTAAGAGGTCGTGTGTGACAGCTGCAGGCCACACAGAGTCTGTGGGGCAGTCAGTCGGTCACTCTGTGGGGGGGGGGGGGGTCACTGATGTAAGTGGGTACAGTGATATAAAGGTTCCCCCTTATATCAGTGACCTCACTCCCCTCTTACATCAGTGAACCCCTTTATCTTAGTGCATTCACTCTGCAGACTCTAGTGTAAAGGGGAACTCTGATGTAAGAGTTTCTCTGGTCACTAGAGCTCTCCCCCACATCAGAGCTCCCAGCATCCCTCCTTATATCAGAGTCAGCAGAGTTCACCCTTATAGTGCAAGGGGAAACTTTGTGGACTCTAAGGTAAGGTGGAACTCTGCAAATTCTAATGTAAGGGGGAGCTCTGGTGACATCAGAACCTCTTACATCAGAGTTCCCCTTTACACCAGAATCTGCAGCATTCCTCCTTACATTATGGTCCACAATGTTCCCCTTTACATCAGGGTCCACAGAGTTCCCCTTTACATCAAGGTCACCCGAGTTCACCCTTGCACTGTAAAGGGGACTTCTGATGTAAAGAGGTCTGTGAGGATGCTGGGAGCTCTGATGTAATGGGTGACTCTAATGTAAGGGCAGGACGGGGGCCCACTGCAGAACATGTGAAAGCGTCCCGTTGCAGGACTGTAATAAAGGGCCCTGTGACAGAATAAAAGAGGCCTGGGATCAATGGGAAGGAGCTTGGGTGAGGAGGGCCCTTCATGGTTTCTTGCACAGGGGCCATGGGTAAAATTAATATCTCCTAAACGTACAACATTTAGGAGATATTCCAGCGAGCAGCTGGTGATGTCACCGGCACATGCGCTGTGAAGAAATGGCATACCCCTGCTGTTCCCTCAGTGCTCTGTGCCTTGCCTCGGGCTCCAACGTTCATGCGCAGGAGTGACATCATTGCGGCTCAGTCAGTCAGATGGCCAGAGAACACGAACTCAGAAGGAAGACTGGGTGAAGATGGAAGCCCTGTCAGTGGTGACAACTCACCACTGGAGTGCTTCATTATAGCCCTGGTTAACACTGATGCGACAAATCTCATCCAATGATCGGCAATGGAACCGTTCTAATCGGTGCATGAATTCGCACAGATGTCTATCAAGTTGCACCTGAAGTCGCTATGCCATTTGACTTTAAAATCATTTCAAGTGAAGTCATATGGGGGTTTATTTACTAAAGCTGGAGAGTGCAAAACCAGACTCACTTCTGCATAGAAACCAATCAGCTTCCAGGTTTCATTGCCAAAGCTTCATTGAACAAGCTGAGGTTAGAAGCTGATTGGTTTCTATGCAGAAGGGAGTCTGATTTTGGACTCTCCAGCTTTAGTAAATAAACCCCATGGTGTCAGAGTCAGATTCAATGTGAACTGGGGCTTAAAGTTAGTCTTTGATAATGTGCTAGCATGCGATATACTGTATATTGGCACATTATAATATTACCTTGCAGGCGGAAACTTTTTTTTTTAATATAAGCTTTACTATCGCTTTAATTGGTTCCTGTCTAAATTGTCCCTAGTATGAATGTGAGTTAGGGATCGTAGACTCCTTGAGGGCAGGGGCTGGTGTGAATGTACAATATACATATGTAAGTAATGATCTGCGTAAATTAACGGCACTATATAAGTACCTAAAATAAGTGTTTCATTCTGTTTATAAACAAAGTGGCCAGGATTAGGCAAGACTTTTCTACTATCAACAGCTGCTGGTAGATTCATTCTGGATATGCTAAATCATCAGTCAGCCATCAACACTTGTAGATTCATGCTTGGTATGGTAATATCTGAAAGTCACTCCAGTCAGCCAATAAGTGCAGGTTTTTTCCAAGTTTACATGGGTGTTTTCTCTGTGACAGCCCTGATCTTCTGGAAGTTTGTCCAGTCATTTATAGCTACTGACAGATTCAGGCCAGATATGAACATTCCGGAACAGCTCTCCAGTTAGCCAAGCAGTATAGGTTCTCATTTCATTGTCTGTACTGGTGTTGTCTCCCTGACAATTCTGTATTCCGCAGAGACTACCTGCCCATGTTTCAGTTCACAAAAGGACTGCTTTTCAGGTCAGACCAGTATGTATGGGGATTCCTTATGGAGTTGTTGGTTTATACTAGATTCAGGTATTCGCTGTTTAGTACTCGGGCCACAACAAGGGTTTGACAAAATTATGGAAACACCAGGTGAAAGAACAAAATCATTACCAAACATGGTGTTGGACTGCCTTTGGCATTTAAGATGGCCTGAATTCTCCTGGGAATTGACAAATATAAGTCTTGCACCACTAGTCATGCAAAAAAAATTCCAGTTCTTGCAGAGATGCTGGAGGCGGAAAATGAGAGCCTGAACCTCGTTCTCCAAAATTGACCATAGTGGCTCTAAGATATTAAGGTCCGGCGACTGTGGCACCCGGGGAAGATGTGAGACTTCATCTGCATGCTCATCAAACCATGATTTGACACCAGCTGTATGAACCAGAGGATTATCATCTTGGCAAATGGCGCTGTCTTTGGGAAACAATGTTTGCAACATGGGGTGCACATGATCGGCCAAAATGTGTACATAGTTACTGGCAGTGACTCTACCTTTCAAAGGTGATGATGGGGCTTGCAGAATACCAAGATATGGCTGCCAAAACCACTGTTTGGGCCGCTGCCATGCTATACCATTGGCAGAAGGCAGTCCTGGTCTTAAGCGAGGGATGGTGTTTGCCACAAGTAAACACATCTGGTAGTTGGGAACAGTGTGAAGTTCAATTCATAAGACCATATTACAGTCTTCTATTGATTGATAGTCCACAATTTATGGGTGTTGCACCACTCTCTCCTCTTCTGAGCAATAATATTGTTCACAAGTCGTTTGGCAATTGCACCTCGCTCATTAATTTTTTTGCTTATGGAGTTCCCTCCACACAGTCTTTGTGGACACGAGCTTTGGAAGACTGAAATTAAGATCTGCAGTCACTTTTGCAGCAGTTGTTTTCTTATTCTTATTCCTGGTCACAATCCTGTGTAATTTCCTTTTGTCTCTTTTGGTCAGTTGACCATATCAACCAAGCTTATGCTTATCAGACAATGTTTTCCCTGTAAACTGTATATGTCATTGTAACCTTTGATACGGTACCTCGTGACACAGCAAATGAATTGGCAACTTCAGTGACAGAGGCACCAGCTAAACGGCACGCAATTTGTCCTCTTTAAAGCTCAGGAAGCTCTGACATGACTCTGCACTACTAGTGAATGACGAAAATGATGCTTCACACCTGTCTCATCACACAGCCCAAGCAAAAGAATATTACATCACTTCCATATATCTATATTGTACCGCGCTCCAAAATTAATAAATCTAAGTGCTCTAAATAAATAAATAAATATTGTATATAACTAAAAATTCAATAATAATCTATATCCATAATACTTAAATTCATAATTGCATAATACTTGAATCCATGATTGAAGTGAATCAAAAAAATTTCATTAATATTTGTAAATCAATGCATAAAAAACTGCGTGCCTGAAAAACTATTAAAAAGTGAAAAAATATATAATGATATATAATGAAAATATAAAAAATAAATAAATTAAAATAAACTGGAAGAAAATTTTGTATGAATTAATAATAGTTCAGTTCATACGAATTTGAGATGGTAATGTGAATCAATCTGATTGGCGTGGTAAGTCTATGTTCATGACATGAACCTCTCTCTCCTTCCTCCTCTCTCTTTCTCCTCAATTCAGCTTTTCTCAATTAGGACTTTCTCCTCTATCTGCTTGGCTTATTCCTCCATGAACGATACATACATAGAAAAGGGAAAAAGAAATATAGTGTCTTATCCTGAGTAAAAATGTTTAATGAGCTTCTGATCTCCCACTCACATGGTATCAGCAAAAGTAACGCTTTTGTGTAAATAAATCCAGGTCCTCCTGCAAACAGCCCTGCAGGTGTGTGTGTGTTCACTCGCTATACTCGCCGTTTCCTCTGTGGATGCGTGATGACGTCACCGCCCCTCCCCTACGCGTTACGCTACAGGGACTCGTAGCTTCCTCTGGGGGATGTAGTTTTACATGTCATCCTGCACCGAAGGTTA